AAGTCTTTTACACATTCTAACTTTATTAAACTAAAAAATACAATTATATATATATATATATATATATGCAGTGGAATATTATTCAGGCATAAAGTATGGAAATGGATTTGCAAGAAAATGGATGGAACTTGAGGCCATTTAGCTATGAAAAACAACTCAGGCATAGTAAGTTAAATAACGCATGGTTTCTATTATATGAGAAACCTAAAATACAAATTAATGCAATAAAGAGATGATAAGAAACTAGAAGGAAGACCCTTGGAGATGGGAAGAAGATCACAGAGAGCTAAGAGAGAAGGGGGTAAAGGGATTAAAAATGATCAAGATATGTTATAATGCCCATACTGGTTCCCCAATTTGAACATAATTGCACACATACATTAATAAAAATGGACTGCTACAAACACTTCAATATAAAAATGCATAAAGAATCTAAAGAAGAATGTAAAATGAAGAAATACAAATGTCCAACAAAATAAAGGTGTTAACATAAAACATTAATCTCCCAGATAATCAAAGAAATGTAAATGAAATATTTTCTTTACAATATCAGCAAAATATTTCATAAACTGGATAAAAGTGGTACTGTTGAGGATGTGAGAAAATAACAATTCTCATATGTCACTGATGAGATTATAAACTGGGTACAACTTTCCTGAACAACAATTTAACAGTAAATGCTAACATTTTTAATGTTAACACCCTCTGAATGTACAATGCTACTTCCAAAAGTTATCCTAAAGAACTAATCATAAAATGTTTAAAAATGTGTTCATTATAGCATTTGTATAATAGCCAAAAATTGAAAATAATATATTGATTGAATAAATAATTGTACATCCACTATAACACTATTCTGTAACTATTTAAAATTCTGTAACTACTTAAAATTATGATATAAATCAATATTTATTGACATAAAGGGATAGCCTCAATATATTTTGAATAAAAATACAATGTGTATAGTTAGAAACAATTTGTAGGAAATTAAATTCAAATGTATATATACATTTTTTTACAAAGTAAAGTACAATTTAATAAAAATGTTAACATTTGAGAGTGAACTGCAAGTTTATTTTATGTTCTTATTGTTATGAATGGGTGTTATTTAGTTTTTTTATACGTAACAGGTCTGATGTATTCCAAAACAATAAATCTATTTCAAAATTCAGTATGTCACTTATATAGTCAAAAAGAATCAAATCTAGGATAACTTACTTTTAGTTCAAAAGCAAAACCCAAATATTAATATCAGTTGTTTTAAAAACTCAGAATTACAGGGCAACTTCAAACAAGTATCCGACAGCAAATGAAGAAACTAAACATTTTCACAAAAGCATATCCTACTCTACCAAAAATAGCTCATAGATCAAAGGTAAATAGCAAATAAAAACACTGCCACCTCCCCATATAATTAGACTGTAAAAGCTTTCAAGCTAAATTTTTTAATCTTGTTTAATGCTGTCTTTAAGCCACACCCATTTCTTTTTTTTAACACACACACCACCTTTCTTTTTATTATTTGATTTAGCAAGATGATTTCAGCATCAAATAAGCAGTTGGATTAAAGGCGCTTCCAACCTGGAGAGTCAATGATTCTAAAGTATTATTTAAAACGCTAAAATCCTTCCAAAAATACCTGTAGCAAAATTTACCCAGCTTTATATTAAATTATAGCATTATATATCTAAAGCTTAAGAATTGAGAAACTTTCTTTAATTTATTGATTCACTAATTTAATTATGTATATAGAGAACCACTAAGTTCAAACAATTGTCTTCAAAGAATTTATTTTCTCAACTAACATTTTGGAGAAAATTAGTTCTCTGGCCTTCTAAATATCAAAATAAAAACTGAGAACTATCAAAAGACATCTTATATGCAAAATCTAAAAACTTTTTCTAACTATATCATTTTTCCATTAAAACTGTAATTATTCCTTCCCCGTCAATTTTGGGGGAAGAAATCTTTACTTTTTTTATATCCATTTTTTAAATTACAAAATCAAGATCTAGGAGACATTACCAAAGATTTTACAGAATTTAAAAGGATATAGAAAGCATATTTCAAAAAACTGTTTTGAAATAAATTTGACATCTTCTAAGAAGCACCTTGGAAGACAAATTAATGAAACTAACTCTGGAGGAAATATAAAATT